TTGATAAAACAAAGATATTCATGTTGCTTAGCAGAGTGCCTGGCACCAATAATGCCATCAATAACTGATAGTATTATGAGAACCTGGGATTCTTTGTGGAATTCAAAACAGGACTATCGGAGTTATTTGCTTAGAAAAAATAAAACGATCCAAACTCTATATTCAATAGTATATATAAAGTATATATAGAATCTATCTGTACTATAGATATATAACATGTATCTCTTTATTGCATAGTATCTCTACAGTAAAAAATATCATATACATGCCTATAGATAGAAAGCATTAAATAGCATTGAATCATTCAATTGTAAGTGTGGTATTTCCAATTATCTTCTTTTTTTCACTCAAACACATTCCCTGTCTCCCAAACACATTCTATCTTTGGACATTCCACCTCTGTCTCATGGATATTCCATTTTCTCAGGGAGATGCTGAGTTTGCCATCTTGGTTCCTGGGTTTAAGGTGCTCAACATAAGAGAGCAAGGAGCAAAGGTTTGCAAAGAGGAGATCAGTTTAGTCAGACTACAGTTGGAAAGGGAAAACACTGAGCCGCTTTTGCAAAGGGGAAGTTGGAATGGAGGAAGGGGGAAAAAGAGAAAAGGCTATGTGAGCCGAGTTTTCAGTTGACTTAGGATTTCAGAATGAGATTTCAAAGCAAATCTAGTCAAAAGGTAAAATGAAAGTTAGTTAGTGGAGAAGGACATTTTAAAAAGAGTGAGTTTTGAACTGGAGTCTTTATCAATCTCCTACTGGGACTGACCACTCTTCTAGGAATTGCTTTGAAAGAAATACAGTGGCTAGACTGTGCTTTGTTAGGTAAGCCCCTTAAGACTCCACGTTAGGGCAAGATCACAGAGAAAACGGAATTATTTAAACTTCTGAACCAATGAAACTGATATGATGGGTTTATTGTTTAAGTTTCCCATTGGACCAACCCTCCCACAAATAAAAATTGTAGACTATGAACAAACTACAAAGCATACTACCCAAGGATTCCAAATAATAAACAAAAATCAGGCCGATTACAGAGGGGAACCAAGACTTGGAGAAATGACTTGAGTGGAGGCCTGAGTTTCTCAAAGTTTTTCAAAGTTCTGTGGGAACTTTGCCCTGAGGGTGATCTGTCGTCATGGTGCAGCGGGTCACAGGCAGCTAAACCTCCAAACACGAAATAAAACTGCAAATCTTTCTGGTCAAGAAAGAAATCAGAGAAAAATGGCCAGATACCCATGCCAGAGAGTGACAGGGAAATCAAGCAAGGGAGCGAGCTGGAGAGATAAAGGGGTCCTCAGACTGTTTTGGAAGCCCACAAGTTTCAGGTTGATTTCTTAATAAAGATTTCATGGAACAGGCTCATTAGAGCCTAGCAAAGGATGAAACTTAGACTTGATATTTGAGCCTCTATACACACAGAATCTACCTGAACTAATAGTTGAAACAAACAAATGAAAAAAAAAATTAGTGTTCTCCAGAGGATTGTCATAAAATTCCAGATGATATAAGACTCACCACGATGTCCAGGATAAAAATCCAAAATTATTGTGTACATAAAGGACCAGGCCATTGTGGCCCATTCTGAATGAAAAAGGCAAAACAACAACAACCACCAAAAATCAAAAACCAAAAATGACAACTTCGGATCAGATTAAAACCTTGCTGTGACTTAAGCTGTTGGAGTTATTAGAAAGGACTTCCACGGGGTTATTTTCAACTATGGTCAATGAAATAACAGACAATATTCTTGAAATGAATAAAAAGAAAAATCTTAGCAGCAAAATAGAACACATAAAAAGAAAATGGAGATGTTAAGGATTAATATCTTTATTAATTTAATTAATAAATAGAATATCTAAAATAAAAATAGATACTGAAATGACTTAATAGATTGGTGAATATCAAAGGACTGGGTGAATATAGGCAAGGTATCGTCAAATTGAAGAGGAAAGGGGGAAAAAGATGGGAGACATGGACAGACTTTCAGGGACCTGTGTAATAATATAAAAAGATTCAATGTTGGGTAATTAAAGTCCTAGAAGAAGAGTGGAGAAGAAATAAAAGCCCCAAACTCCCCCACATTTGGTGAAAGAAATAAATTTGCAGACTCAAAAAAAAAAAACCCAATTAACTTTAGACATATTCACAGAAAACCACTTAGATATATAATAATCCAATAGCAGAAAACCAAAGGTAAAGAAAGAATCTTGAAACCAAAACTTCACACAAAAGGAAATGTTGCTTTGAATAATCACAGGCTTCACATCAGATGCTCAGGAAGTCAGAAGAGGAAAACAAACAAACAAACAAACAAACAAAAAACCAAACAAAAACCTCAAACAGAAAAATCTTTATGAAGATAAAATAAACATGCGTTCAGGTAAAGGAAAATGAAATAATCTGTCGCCAGCTGACTTCATCATGAGAAATGCTTAAGGAAATTCTTTGGGTTGAGGAGAAATGATGATAGAAGGAAACCTGGATATTCAGAGGTAAAGAATAGCTGGTAATGACCTGGATAAAGATGGAAGAGTTATCTTTTTTCCTAATATGATTAAAAAATATGGCTGTTTAAAGAAAAAAAAAAAACACTGTCTTGTGGTATCTTCAAGGCACACAGATGTTGATAGAGGCTTTGAAATGGTTTGGATCTTGAATGTCTCCAGAAAGCCCCTGTGTTAAAGGCTTGGTCCTCAGATGATGGCACTGTTGGGAAGTGGCAAAACTTTCAAAAGATGGAGTCTAGTGAAAGGAAGTGAGATCATTGGGGACAGGCCCTTGGAGGGGATATTGGGACCTTGTTGCTCAGCTGCCATGAGGTAAGCAGACACCTCTGCCACATGCTTCTGCCATGACATGCTTTCTTACCACATACCCAAAGCCACAGGGAAGATGGACTGGAATCCCAGAAACTCTGAGCCAAAAATAAACCTCTCCTCCTTATAAGTTGATTTCCTCAGGTATTTTGTTACAGAGACAGGAAGGTGCAAAATTTTTACACTTTACATACACATTAACTTCAAAGCTGTAATGACATATATTGTAATACCTAGAGCATCTTTTTTAAAAAAAGAACTGTATTTTTTTTTAAGAATCAACAAATTAAAATGGAATGCTAAAAAAATTAAAATAATCCAAAAGAAGGCAAGAAAGGGGGGGATATAAGAACAAAAAGTAGAGAGATATACAGAAAGCAAATCATAAAATGGTAGATTTATTTTTTATTTTTTTAAAGAGAGAGAGAGAGAGAGAGAGAGAGAGAGAGAGAGAGAAAGAGAGAATTTTTTAATATTTATTTCTTAGTTTTCGGCGGACACAACATCTTTGTTTGTATGCGGTGCTGAGGATCGAACCCAGGCTGCACGCATGCCAGGCGAGCCACATCCCCAGCCCCCAAAATGGTAGATTTAAATCCCATTACATTAATAATTATATTTTAATAGTGAAACACTCAAAAGACAGAGATTATCAGAAGGGATTTTTAGAAAACAATATTCAATTACATATTGTCTCAAAGGACAAATTTTTATATAAGGATACAGAATAAAAGTAATTAGGAAAAAAAGAGGGGATTTCATGAAAATAGGAGAGAGACCAGTAGAGTAGAGGAAGGGGATTAGGAGAAGTACTAGGGAATAAAATTGACCAAATTATGTTATGTGCATGTACAAAGATATAACAATAAATCCCACTATTATGCATAGCTATAATGTACCTTTAAAAATTTGTAAAAAGTAAATAGAAAAAAAAAAGATGTGCCACTCAAACACTAAGCGTAAGAAATCTGGACTGACTCAATCAATGTCTGATGAACTAGACCTCAATTCAGAGTATTTTCAAATATGAAGTATGAATCTAGTAAGAAAGATCTAAAATAAAAGTTGACAAAATTAAAGGAATATGTGGACAACTTCAAAGTCATAGTAGGAGATTTTGAGACTTTTCAACATTTGATAGAACTAGATAAAAAAAAATCACTAATGGCACAGAGAATTTGAGCAATATGAA